AGTGAAAAAAGTGTGCCTTGGCTCAAAAAAGGTTGAAAAACACTGATGTAGGTAATGAAATCACTATTCAGAGGAAACATTTTGTTCACTGTAATTCATGAGGAGGGACCTTAATGGTGCAGGAAAAAAAGCATATAATCAGTAGATTAATTATGATATCCAATAAAATGTTACCACCACCAATTTCTCATACAAAATCTAATAATTTTTTTACGTAATGGGTGATTTTAAAGCAAAAAAAAAAAAAAAAAAAGATGGGTCATGTGCGCTTTTGGCAGAAGATTGAAATGTTAAATGACGACACCATCTAATGAAACAATGGCCTTGATTTAAGAGCAAGCAACATCATTACGAATCCTATGAATTATTTACTAGCCACTCCTCTGCCTTCAGTTTCAAAAACCAATGGATTTAACCAAAAATCCGAACACCACATGTGCCACATTGTTCCCCATGTGTGTATTAATTAACTGGTCATATTCTTATCATCAGAACTAGGGCTGGGCAATATGGCAAAAAAGTAAAATCTCGATTTTGCTTTGGACGATTTCTAATACCTTTTTTTCAAAGTCGACAGACTTTGCCCTTAAAAATATCTATATATATAAATATATATTGGATTAGAAATGAGGGAGAGGATCGATGAGACTGTTCCTTGGCTTCCATTGAAAAAAATAAAATAAATTTGAGCAATTTGTGTTACTATTTGTTTGAAAAGCATTCTCATACCAAGCAGACAAACATCCCACCTGGAGTGACTTTCAAGGTCCAAAACTTTGACCAAAAGCTCTGTGTTAGTTTTAACCACATCCAGTGGTCCCAGCCAATCTCGCAGAGCTCAAATGCAAGCCACCGCCTTTCTTTCTATTGATCCATTTGATAAGACTATCGATTTGAACATCCATTGCAGATTCCAGCACAGAAAGCAAACGCTGCATGGCTGGAAACCAGGCATTGGACCTTTGCTTTAGACATTTTGAATATTTTGGCAGACTATATAGTGAAAAATAAATTAGTATATACAATTATAGGTGATGGACAGGAAGAGAGAAAAAAAGATGATCTCACGGTGATGCAAACATGATAATACTGAAGACAACCCCCAAAGCTTGGAATATTATCTCCTTTATCCTCGATGCTGCACATGCTACAGGCGCACACATAACATTTTGCCAAACCCTTTCTTCTTAAAATCTTCCAATATTGGATGTCAGTGTCTGCTTTAATTACACACCTCTTGCAACCATTTCTTATAGCCCCTCTAACCAATGCATCTCTTCAGAAAGGATTTCACTCATAATTAAATGAAGGGTGCCCATTTTACCACCATATGCCCAGGTCTGATATAATGAGGGCACTTTGGGACATGTGAACCTTTGTTGTTAAACTGCTACAAGTTTTACATCTATTTATATACACCCAGATAACAGGTCACATGTACTTTTCATATCCGACCTTTTTTTAACTAAAGTTTAAAGTATAGCAGAATGAGTCTCTCATTTTTTTCTTGAATAAAATTCACAAACAAAAATATTGCACCTTACATCTATGTAAATAAAAGCAGATACAAAAATAAGTATCACACATAGCACACAGGTTCAACTGTTTCTAGAAATAAACCCAGCAGATGGTTTGCATCAGTAATCAGTACTTAGGAGCTATACATGTCACAGGCAGGAGGATCCTGGCAACAAAACTTGGATTGTAATTGTAATGACTTCATGAGACCACTAAGAGAGCACAGTCCCTTTAAATATACTGACAAACGCACTAAATAGCATCAGATTATCAAAACATTTCAGCCGTGTGTGTCCAAACTGTCCGCAGAGGGCGTGCTTTTAATCCATTCAAAGATTGAATGAGAAGGTGTTATTAAGTGGACTGGAGCTCCTCAGGATGAAGCGTAGAGGACCTTTGAACATAAACCTTTGACAGCAAAGGTGATGGGTAATAAGGGCCAGCCTCAGGCTGATTAAGCTGATGGCATTCCACTTCAGGCACGAACAAATACACACACGAGAGGTGGATGTGATTAGCACCAACTCTAACAAAGAGCACACAAAGCAAAGCTCAGCAAAAATGAACTACAACTGGGGTCAATGGTGGGGCAAAGCTCCAACCAGTTTCACAAGGAATAATCACACTAATTCAAATATATTCATATACATTTTCCTGAAACAAAAATGCAATGTAAAAGCTGAGTCACCGCACTTAGCATGGACACAAGGCCAACAGAAAAAGAGTTGTGTCAAGGGAGCCCACTGAAAACAGGGCTCTGGCATCTGCTTCTTCAGCACTGCATGGGAGCGCAGCAAGGAGAGGGGGAGCAGGGGAAATACTGGTGCAGGAGAGAGAGCTTGATCTAGTGATGCTCAAAAGGGCATCGAAAAGGAGAGCAGCGCATACTGTACGTGGTGTGACGTATGGTAAACTAAATGGTGAGTTATTGTCACAATAGTCCTTAAGTAGCTGCTCATTAAACATGTCAACAATAGACATTCATTCCATTATGAGCGATGGTTGTCTTAACACGGATGTAAGGATTCAGATGGAACTAAACAATGCTTGTAAATAATACACAACCAGTTCCATGTGTACAATAATGTAATGTGTTAGCACAGTATATGTCAATTGATGACATAAACTATAACAACAAAGTTTGAGAACGGAGGTCATACCCAATGAAAAAACAGTGAGACAGAGAAAAGTGATGGAGGGGTCAGACCAAACACATAAGACCACAGTTTGAGTCAGCAAAACATAAGTAACCTACTCCATCCTTTTACTGACGAGTCAGCTCGAAGCGGGACAGACCCGAGAGCGACAAATCTCATCAATATCCCTCACACTTTCCCACTACATGCCATTATAAAACACGACAGGGAGGTCAGAGGTGAGGTGTAGTATGCATACGATATACTATAGATGTTGGCTTATGTCTTCCACAATATACTGCATGTTGTTTTATACTAAAGGATCAGACAAAATGTAAATGGGGAAGGATTCTTAAGGAACACATCCAGAATAATAATAGTGTGAATTTAAACTGTGCAAAGTTGCATGTAAGACATAAACATTTAAAAAGGAAGCTTCATCGTACGGACTGACAATAGGAAGAACTACAAATGTGTTGTAGTAGTAGTAGTAGCAGTAGCAGCAGCAGTGACTGAATCAGAGCCTTTCTCTTAGTGCCTGAGGCTGGACTGACTTCAGATGACTCAACGTGACTCACACATGATACACACACAAACGCACGCGCACGCACACACACACACACAACACAGGTGGGGATTGGGAACACAAAAGACTGATGGATGAGCGCTGTCCCAAAATATGCTTTGTAGCTTCCAAGTGACCCAAAAGCAAACTCACAGCTGTCTACAATTGATGTGCTCTTTTTATAGTCTATCCAAAACTTATTTTACAGATCCCAGACTCACTCTCAGTCTGGTCTTTTATCCTTGCAACAAACCGGCATGTTACTCATGTACAAAGTCAATCCCACTCCAGTCTGCCAGCCCAGGAGCCTGTTGGAGAGGTGGAGGTAGACGGGGCCAACATTCCAACCTGCCTTTTGAGTTTTGTGAAGCTGAGACTGTAGTAAAGCCATTACAAGTCTCATTGGAGAGATATTTGAACAGCCTGCAGAAAGATTACAACTTCTTTGATCCATGGGGATGTAGTGGGCTCACCCACACACACACTTAGAAACATAACCCTCCTCATCATCATAGCATAAGATCACATTTTTTCCAAACAAGACAAGGATAGAGGAACAAAATCCTGAAGAGAAAATTCCAAAACGTTGATATTGTTAAAAATGTGCAGTGTAGAGAATTTATGGTTAGAGATTGTTGTTTTGGAAATGTGACACTGAACTGAACTGCTGATGCATAAAATTATAGTGAACCATTATTGTAAAACAACAATGATTTAATAGTGGATAAGGACAAAACAATACATCATTAACCAACTAAGCAAAGCATTTACTCAAGAAAGATGTGGAAGAAGGAGAACAGTAGGGCTGTCTATTAATTCCTCCAATATTATAATAGACTCGATATTCAATTTTCATACTTTAGAAAACAGCAAAAATTAAAGGATTTTTGATATTCATACCAGATCAAACTTAGCCTGGTTGTACCACACCTTAGTACAAATTACATTTTGTTCTAAGGTCTGGAGGTGCTCCATTGATCTCCGTTAACAGGTGGGAGAGGGAACTCCTTTTGCAGATTGAAACGTTTGGATCCGAGTTTACCGTAACGTATGTAATGCACCTGAGTGAGTCTTTAGCATTTAGCATTTAGCCTAGCCATCTCCTTTGCCGCTAACGGAGCCGTGGGGAGTAGCGCCACAATCTTTGACAGCGATTACATTTGCTAAACATTCCTCTTTCTCCGGCTTCAATTTCTTAGAACCAGACCAGATTACTTTACTCTCGCATTTTTCGCCATTGCCAAATTAACCCCTGCCCGTTCGGCGCAAACTCTTGACGTCACCCACAACTAACTACAACACCCGCCTCCCGCGATTGGTCGGATGGAATTCAACCGATGTACAGTAATCGCTAACACAGGGACCAGACCCAGACGATACATGCATGGAAATGATGATTGAGCGTACGGATGGCTATGGCCACGCTAGAGCAAACTCTCAATTCACTATTCAATATTTTTTTTTTCATGAATTGATCAATATTTCTATGATTTTATGCCTATTTAGTTGAGGTTTGGCAAATTTAAGTTTTGTAAGTACAGTTTAGGTCAGGTGCATAATATTTCCAACATGTTTCCCCTTTAGGCCACTAAATTGATCGCCGGGGCATACATTTAGTCGACCCAGTTAGTTTGTGCACTGTAAAAGGTTAAGTGGTGAAGGCCTACAGACAGAGCAGCAACTGAGCCTCGGTGTCCTGAGTGCTCCCCTAAGGACTCTCCATCAACCCCTTCTTTGTCAGAGATCCGTGTGGGAGTTACTATGTGAGAGTTCATGTTTACCAGATGAGGGTTCGCTGTGGGTCTCGTCCAGTACGAGGCTGTTCATGCATTTGAGCTCCCAGTCCTGGACCTCGGTGTTCCACAGGGCAGGGATCAGCGTGCTGTACCGGGCTCTGGAGACAGGGAAGTACAGGCAAAAAGTTGTCTTGGCTATTCACACACAGTAAGTAAACTGTATTGTACAAGTTATTTCACATATCAGGGTCACAAAGCACTTAGGACGACTTAAACAATACAATCCATCACAGACACACAAATGAGATTTTTTTTAAGTTTTCCTTGGCGTTGCAGAAGGGTCTAAGGACAGTGGGGATGATCCAGGACACATTCGTCATTCAACAACATTTATGGAAATTGATCATATGCCTTGATGCGTTTTTTTATCATTGCATTTCTTGTGTTTAAACTGTTTGATTCTCTAATTTGTGAATTTAACGGTCTTGTAAAGTCCCCCGTGATAATTAGTGGTTTAGGGCTATACAAGAATACATTTAAATTAATTTAATTGGCCGTTTACATGTGACATGCTCTTGTGCTTTATACATGTACATATCTATATATAAATACCTACATCGATATACGTATGTATGTCTGTATGTATGTAGTGAATATATGCATCTACATATTACATACATTACACACACACTTTTTCCCATTACTCCAAGCAATAAGTCTGTTCCAGAAATCAGACTTGGCTAGAAAGGGGAACTGGTTGGTGGTCTAAACGGATAAAGGCTAAACTTTACTGAAGCCAGCCTCGTCATTGTGAAGTGAACAAATAATGTGGCAACCCCTTCAGCAGAACGAGTGTCAATGTGTCAATGAAGAAGAATGAATGAATAAGGGGGCGCACAGGAGGCAGAGCAGGGGGAGGATGGACAGCCCAGGGAGATTTATGGGAACAGAAGATTGTGAAAGAGCTTTGGACAAAAGAGAGTGACGTCCAAGAACCCAAAGTGGTAGTAGTGCGTGAGACAGGGTTTAGGGACAAGAGCTCAAACTTCAGACATAAAGTACACGAGGCTCAATCTAAATATACATTATGTGTCATTTTAAAACTCTGAAAAAATCCATCACATACAGGAACTTAAAACCAAGAGTTTAAGGCAACAAGAACTAGTACATTACATTACATCATTACTCAGAGAAGCTATCAATTTGTGAGGACCTGGAAGGATCATGTTATTAATGTGGATAAGCAGCAACGCAGCACATTTTGTGATTCGTTCTCCTCCATGCCTTCTGTTCATTGTAGCTCTCATCCTTTAAAACTTGATTAAGAAGATCCTGCCACAGGAGAAAATCAAACCACTTAGAGCGGCCTTCCCATCGAGAAAAGATCAAGACCCTCTTATGTGACACTGTGGCAGGCTGCCCACTAGACTCTGGAGAAACTGTGTTGTCCTTGTGTCTTCTTCAGTGTCTCATTTAAAGTGTATGATCCCAGTGGCCATAAAATATTTCACATAATAAAAGAGAGCTTCAAGTCTGTCTCCACCCTTTGATTCTAGGATTATTACTTGAGATTAGATATATATAAAATAGTTTAGCGTTATAGGAATTGGTTTGTTGTAGCAAAGCAATACAGAAAGTACCAACTCAGTGACCCTATGAGTTACCATAACAACTACTCAAAGTCAACTAAACATGCAACGATTATACTACTTATGTACTTAGACCAGAATGAAAGACGGCCATTGAAGGGACTTATTTGCATGAAAAGACGATCACGATTCAAAACATGCACCAAAACAGTTAAGGAACAATAACACTTTACTTTTAGAAATGCCCGAAAAATGCCCACTTCTGATGCACTTATTCATATTCATGAGCATGGCTGCCAATTCATCTGTAGTGTGGAAAAGCAGGATAAAGATGAGGAATGTGGTTTGGCAATGAGAAGATATTATAACTACAAATCTGGATCATGACTTAGATTGCTAGTTAGGGTGTTTCATGCTTGTGTGCACTTGGAAAGGGAGCAACATTGAGACCGTAAAAATAGTGAATGAGGAGTTTTTGAGGAGTCACAAAAACTTAATTCCTTATAATTACTCACAAATGTATGCAGTGTGTCATTTGCTGGCATTTCAACCAGGGACTAAAGTTGAAAACTAGCCTTGAAGCAATAATGGGCCCATTTACAGAATAATTCATTTGCGCAGGTACGATGCACATCATTGAACTAATATTCGTGCCCGGCCGTCTGGAATAGCCGCACGACTTTAGCCAAGGCTTTCAGTTTGCAAATGATAATGCGCATTTTCATAATCTCACAGTGCAGGTGGTGACAGAAAGAATATTGTTTTTTTTCTATTCGAAGTGACTCGTCTGCATGGCCTGTACTCACACATCCACAGGGACTCGGAGCAGCAGGGGTAACATGGCCCCTTCGTCGTTCAGCTCCATCAGCCGAGGCTCCAGCAGCTCAATGATGGTCAGTGCTGTCCGGAAAACAGCTGACAGTCCTGAGGCAACCACAAACCACAAATAACCTGTCTAGAACATTTGGTTGTTTATTTATTTGTTTGGAGAGAGTCAAGTGTGTGTTCGAACCGTGCAGAATGATGAGATCCCAGACGGCCAGCACAGAGTCCCAGCACGGCAGCGAAGTGAAGAGGGTGAGAAACCACGGCATCACAAAATGGACTGTCAAAAGTCCCAAAGACTCCTAGCAAGAAGGCAATTGGTATGATACATGTCAACAATGTGATCAAATCAATCTGTATTTTTGTTTTATTACGACTCAAGATTAAATTATTATTTACTTAAATCTAAATTTGGATCTCCATGCAAACCCAGTACATAGGTAATACTGTCAAAAGCCCATATTCACAGTTTTTAGTCAAAGTATATAGTTAATGTTCCGTATTTACGAACAATAAAATGTAATTTCATTAAGTTGTTTAAATAATAATGCCATTTTCTTTTGTACAGTTGTCCATGTTTAACAGCAGGAGTGTGAAGGTCATGTCTTGAGTCTTCTCTGAGTCAAGAAATTAATTTGGACGCTGAAAAATCCAGGGGAACGCCAGTTTTTTCAGCAGGTGTGAGCAGGGTATATAACTAATGTATCACTACATAACTATTAAAACAAATATAACATCAATATTTGAAAAATGTTTAAATATTATTTTGGAGTTTTCTCAGAAATAAATGTACTCACGAGGTGTTGAAATAACTTTGGTTTTCTGTGTTTCAGAAGCTGTTCGAACATCTTCACCTGATGTTGGATTCTGTCAAAACAAATATAAAAAAAGAAACCCCTCACACTGAATAATTGAAATGAAAAATAATTAATAATTTGATAGGAGTTATCTTTACTTTGAAAGGTTCAGATCAAAAAGTTCCGAGAGATATTGAGGCTGATCCAACAGAGCTGTGAGAGCCCAAAATGCCTCCTCTTCTGCCAGATGCATCAACAGCACTGCTGCTATGTAGGACATTCCTGTAGACCACATCCGCTTTGAGAATTGGAGTATTGAAATAAACCAAAACTACATATTATTCACACACTATGTCTTTGATTGTTTATTTGTGCCTGCATTCAAAAAAGACCTCAGATCACAAATTAGTGTCATCTAAATTATATCCTCTACCTACATCTTGTGGCCACGTTAGGTATTACAGCCATTTCTATTTCCATTTGGTGAGAACTATAAAACTGTCAGTCTTACCTTGGCTGTATCCGACCTGAGGGCTGTATCTTGCGTAGGCAATGAGCACCCGGAAAAGTTTAGCCTGACCCTCTATGGCCTCTGGGCCATCTCCCATCAGAGAGCGGTGTGTGGGGAATGAGCGTTCTGCAATCACAATATTCTCGTCAGTAACTATGAAATCTTGTTGTCTGTATAACACAGGGGTGCTCCCACTTTTTCAGCATGCGAGCTACTTATAAAATGATCAAGTCAAAATGATCTACCTACTATAAAAATGCAAAACATATATATATTTCTAAATATATTGATGATTCTTTATATCTACAATGTATGTTGATGTACATGCAAAACCGCATGATTTATGAAATAATTTGCATTTAAGCACCGCCTCTGGCGGTCATCCAGGATTCATAGAACCAAAGTTACATTCGTAACTTTCGTTCTGTAGCGGTACTGTCATAGTAGAAACTCAGGGTGAAGACGTGTTATTATAGATCCATGGTGAAGACATATGTTTACAAGCATTGACCCCAGTCCTCAGCCCTGGTTTGATCCTGGTTTAGCTCCTGTTTTGGTTGTTTTCGAGCGTGTGTGATCACTTTGCTGCTCTCTGATGTGGAGCGAGGATCGCTGCTGTGAACCGCTGTTAAGGCAGTATGATCCATGCTTTAGTGATCAGAGGTCGCACGTTTTGTTTGTTGTTGTTGTTGTTTTGGGGGCAAACTGTGCCGTGCAAAAACGCAAAACTCCGGTTATCTCTGTCCACACACAAATGCATAAACGGATTAAAAAAATATATATGTAATGCGATCTTCCAATACTACCTTTGCGATCGACTGGTAGATCGCGATCGACGTATTGAGCACCCCTGGTATAACACATACGCTTTTTTAGTTTACAGTCAAAACGATTTTTTGATTAAAACAAACATACGCAGATCCAGTGCGATCTGTCGAAAGAGTGAGATGTCATCCTCAGAGTAGCGCAGCTCTGAGTTGGACGGCTCCGGGTTTGTGCCAAAATCATTCTGTGTCTCGCTTAACGTGGAGATGGCCGACAAAATGCCATATTCACTGACCCCCAGGTCAACAAGAGGTCCTCGCACTTGTGCCAGGCATATCTTTAAGAAAGAAATAAAAGTCATATTTGTTTTACATAATTACCATAACACTATTGCATATAAAAAATAAGTACCTCATAGTTAAAATGGCTCTTTTGCTTCCTGTTTTCAATGGACAGAAGACATCTCCACACTTGGCTTCGCAAACTTGAAGGAATGCCCATCCTAATGAATCTTTCAATCTTAAAAAAAATAAAGTTAAAATGTTTTTTTTTTACTTTCAGGGAAGAATCAAACACAGATGATTCCTTTTAAAATGTCAAATCCTTTACAAATGTTTCCAAAAATTGATACAAGTGTGAATATTGTATTTTGAACTTATGTTACTACGTTATCTACATGAGAGAACTGTCCTCTTACACACAGTATCCTTGATTTTCCATTGATTTTGGGAAACATGTTATTTAGGAGATGATATATTTGTCTGGAATTGGTGGGTAATGATAATGATATACAGTTGTCAGTATTGTGTACTCTGCAGAATCCCCTCCCCTGTTCACTGAGGCCGATACCAGGAGCTGATACTAGCACTGGGTATTGAGACCTGATCCTGGTATCGGTATCTGTGCATCCCTAACTCACACTTTGTTCTGTGTTTTTTTATTCTTTGCAATAATAAGGGATTTATTTATAAATCTGTACAATTCATCTTTCTTTTTTTTTTTTTTTTTTTACTGTTTACGTTCTTAATGAAAGACAAGTGTAGTTGTCTTTTAACTAGGCAGAAATAAGTCAAACACAAGACTGAATGCACAACTTACCTGGTTCTTGCAGAGGAAGCTGGCACCATTCCAGTAGCTGAGCAGTTCACACAACTCTTTGACCTTCACTGAACTCAGCTGGGGGCAGCTAACAAAACAAAACACAAAACACACACACACCACGTTACTGTACAACACAATACAGTACAATACACTATCACAAAGAGAAGAATGTTCTGTACTTGTCAAATCAAGACTGGATTAAAAAAAAGTGTCATTTGTGATTTCTGGGCACTAATAAATCATTAGTTTAATTTTCCAGAGAATAGATTAAATCAATGCAATGACCTAGGGCTGGGCGATATGGCAAAAAAGTAAAATCTCGATTTTAGTTCCTGCTTTGGACGATGTCGATTTTAAATCGATTTTCATTAAAGTCACTCAAGACAGACTTTGCCCTTAAAATATTGTTTATCTTCCCACTCAATATTTAAGTTTCAAAACTATTTTTATTTGTTTCCCCCAATACATATTATAAAAGTCTTGTTCAGACTGTGCTGATATCGCAAGTGTAATTGATGTGCTGCTGGAACTCTCACAATATCCCTCATTCGATTTCACGATTTTCCAATTTTTCACGAATTCGATTTTTTCAAAAGCCGATTAATTGCCAAAATTCGATTTATTGCCCAGCCCTACAATGACCTTAACTTATTTAGTTTTATTTCTAATCCGCAATGATTCAAATTATAGCCATGACCATTTATTAGCTGGTTAGGGAACATAAACAGCTCACAACGTCAAGCATAGTCTATTGTCATCTATTACTAAACTGAAATGAACTTGTATCGGCTAGTTAGCTAATGCGCCTTCCATCCACGAGACTGTACTTCCATCAACCAAAGCTATGCTAGCTGAGTGTCCCACCTGTAGTCGTGAGATCTGTGGTGAAGTTTTTGTTCCTTCTTCTTAGTGACAGCAAATCCAAACTCATCAAAGCGCACATTTTCACTGCGTCTGCGGAGAGTCGAGCTCCTCCTGCTGCCATTACTGCTGCTGCTTCTCCTCCTCATCCTTCAGACGCCTCTAAACAGCGGTGTTCAGCAGCTTTGTCCCATAGACCAGAGCCAGAGCCACAGACCAGAGCCACAGACCAGAGCCACAGACCAGAGCCAGAGCCGCTGCTTTGTCCTCGTGGAGTTTGAAACAAGCGGCTGTCAAATCATGACGTCATGCGTAACCGAAAGTGGGTGGGACCGGGATGAGGTCACAAGGGGTGGGGTTTCATGCAGCCCCGGAACACGTGATCATAACAAGTTTGTCTCATAGGGTTTTTCTCAATACAATCTATGGCAGGAATGTCAAACTCAGGCCCGTGGACCAAATCCGGCCTGCGAGACAATATTTAGTGGCCCCTGAAATGATTTTAAATTATCTTCATCGCATTAATGGTTGGGTTATTGACCATTGATGGTAAGGGGCTACTATGGCATTTTAAGGCCTATTTTCTCAGGAAAACAGCGATATAATTGTTTATGTTCTGACATGTTATATCTGTTATAGTTATTATATCATTTTAGTTTTCCAATACATTTCTTATTGACATTTGGCCCAGCTGTGGTTGAGTCCAAACATACTAGAAAATAATAACAAAACTCATGTCAAATACAGTTGACGTGAGACAAAAATATGTAAGAACTGTTTTACTTCTAGTCCCAACCAGTTCTTATGTTTTTAAATTAGGCCCTTGACCAATTTAAGTTTGACGCCTCTGGTCTATGGTCTCAATCTCAGATACATCCATGGGTTGTCTCGACTGATCTAAAATCGCACATTAGCTTGCCCAGTTGTTCATTAGAGACTAAATTCTAATTGTCTGGTGAACTTAGAGAACTTTGGTTTTGTTTCATGTTATCTGCCCCAACATAAAGAGTCCTTTTTTGATGACTGCAACTAATGTGCTTGTTGAGAGCTTGTTCTAGAAGATGTGATAGAGGCCAAAATACATGCATGTGAAAACTTGTGAGAGACAGTTTTGGGAGACGGGAACTAGTCACATGGAGCATTGAAAATTCAAAAAGGAAGCAGTTAGCATATCCAGTTGTCAGATGCAATTTATTGTGTCTGACATGTACGTTTATGAAGATTTCGTATTGAAGACACAGTATCTAATCATTGTGCTGTGACTTCTTCATTATTGTGTATCTCCACTTTGTAAATAGTCTGGTATCCGTCATCCCAGGCGTATAGCTGTTTGTCTTTTGGATTGTAGTGGATGCTGCTGTGGCTTGTGTACCTCTTTGGGAAGAACATCACAGGACTCTCGTTGCTGCAATAAAAAAATGTAAAGCACTGTAACAACTCTCTCTCAAACTATCTATACACCAACAAACTGACCTGTGAATCGTATCATGAATATCAAAAAGACATTGCACGGTGGAGCGTCCTCCGTAGCGTGTGTTGTAGACCACATACAGAGTCCCACAAATGAGGAAGGCTCCTTCAGCGTCACGGCTTTTACACTGAGTGTCCCATGTAAAGTCTACAGCCAGACTCACTGAGAAGAATAAAAAGGTCATAAATATTCACAATATGAATACGGTGATCTATATGGTGAATAAAGAATGTAGGCCTTTACAAAATAGTTTACCTTGATCTAGTTTAGTAATGACAAGATTTCCTTCATACTCAGAATCAGCGTGGATGACCCATAATCCCAGCTCATCAACAGCAAAGTCCATGTATGTGTTTGGATTTAGACTATAGACTGGGATCTGACCTGCTCCAGGAAGTAAAGTACTGTCCACCACCGTGCAATTCAGCAAATTCACCTACATGTAATCAACTAAATCATTCTCCAAAAATGTAGAAATGAACAATACTTTTATTCTTATATAGATTGGTGTTACCTTCAGTATCTGATTTGGTGTGTCTGCTTTGTGCATATAGAGGAAGCCCTTGTAGACGAGCTGCCCTGTGCCCTGCCAGTGGAATGGAAGCTGCAGCTCTTTAGCCGCTGAACCCATGTCCTTTTCTGTGAAGCTCTTCAGAGAAACATACTCGCGCATAGTATTGTTACGGATTCCACTCATCAGGTACACCTGCAACACATCAAATGCAGCACGCCTATTGGCCACTTCTTTCCAATAAAATGAACCTTTAAACCTTTCCAGGTTAAAGCTAACCTTATTTGACCCCTCTGACGGGTCTTTAAACCAGGATCCAGAAGTGTCTCCTGCTTTCTTTACAATCTTCAGAGATTTTATTTGGCTTAGTACTGTGTTACAGTCTAAATAGACAAATATATAAATCATACTTTTATATCAATGAATAAGAGCGATCTAATGAACAAAGCCAAATGAAATTTGTACCATTCTCCATAATCTTGGCCTTCTGCTTCAGCTCCTGCTCCATGTCTCTGATCTGTTGCTCCAACAGAGCCTCCTCCATCTCGATGTCCGACTGAGCGGGAATCTTGTTCTCCAGATATTCCATCTCCCTCTCCACACGTTCCATCCGAGTGGAGACACTTTCCACTTGAGTTTTTACCTCAGATCTGTGCAAAAGTTCACTTGTATTTAAACATAACTCAAGGAGCACTTCACATGAACTCTGCTTACCGAAACCCACTAAGAGTGGACATGTGGCTTCGCACCTCTAAGGAAAGCTCATAGATTTTTTGTGTAGCCATCGTGCTGCTTTGTTCACATTGGGTCAAACGCTCCTGCAATTTAAAAGAGACATTGTAAAGAGTTGGCAACCCTTTAGGTAGAGAGTTGTGTAAGGGGGTCTAGAAAAAGTTTATCATTATCTGGCTATAATAATATCTGCTTTACTTGCTTCTGTTATGCCACAGGTAGAGATATTTGACTTCTTTATTATCCTAAAGTCAGAGTTTTTGTGATCATTATGCTAAAGATATAGGTTTTATACTGGTATAGGTTTTATGCTAGAGTTAGAGATTTTCATTTTACTGTATTTAGTATGGAGTTATGATTCATTTATCTAGTGTTGTGTGCTCCTCATTCCTACTATTCTGTAACTGGTGATACAATAATGAAATGTCCCCACTGTGGGACGAAGAAAGGATCTTAATCTTAAACTGAAGAATGCTTTGAAACACCAGGATTCAGACACTTGGCTCGAAGTGTATTTGAAATGATTCCATGTCTAAGGAATTGCAACTTGTCAGCATCGGCTTGCTTTCAAGTAGCATTGTTCATTATAATGATAGACCTGACAGATACACTGCGTTATTTTCACATTGTACGAGAATAACTAAAACACTACTTTATCCTGTGAAGCTGCCAGATATTGCAGCTTCACAACAAATTCTTCCACAACACAAAGCTATCGGGGCAGAAATACGTTGGGAACCAAATATTGCCACCAGATGTTATATTCATGCAACACATTTTGTTTTTTCTTTCTATTTTAGTAACAATCGTTGATGTTGTTCCAGTAGGCTCCAAAATAGGCTTGTTTAGCCAATCGTAGATATTCATAAATAACAGAAATATTAGAATACTTTTGGAACTAGTACACAATGACATAAAGTGATTTTCTATACAAGTATTTATGTTTTTTATGATATCAAATACATCTGTTTTTCTTTCTCCAGTGCTAACAATAAGTCCAGTTGAAGCTTACCTCTATCTGTGCCAGTCTGCGCTCCAAATACTGTATTATGAAATTGTCCTGTTGAGACCCCTGGCTTTGAACTGAGACCACAGCCACACACAGGTGGACACCGAGAAGAAGAAGCCCTCTGCAAAACATGTTTGTGCCCAGAAGGTAGTTTTGCAGTTGAGCTGTAGTTAATGTGTCCACGATTCAGTATTTAGTCCTCCCGAATCTTCTTCCTCTCTCCCAAGTGTTGCGCAGACAGGACCTCACTCTCAGTCCCACCCACCCATCTCTGAAAATCTTTTCCTTATTTTCTTTTGCTCCCACCCTTCCTTCTTTTTGGTCCGTTTTCTGGATCTGGTTCCTCTGATGTGAAAGAAAATGAAAGAAATAAGATCATGTGCATTTTGTATGTGTAGTTCTTGACATTGTTGAAGAAAAAGTTGTTAATATGGAAAATTAAATCTGATAATTCTTGTCACCGATTCTTTTCAGAAGTTGTATTTTCCTCTCCACTCAAACTATTATGATACATAATGTGTACGATACAATATAGACTTGAGTATGTTTTACAGAAGCTAAATGCATCTAGTAAAGGTGTATTGAAATCGTTTGTTTTTATATCTTCTCAAAAACGGTTTTGCAACTCAACTGTGCCTGTTCCATCCACAAAAACCTCAAACCCACGCTTCTCAGTCTTTCCATGTTTCCCCCTTTGAAAGCCTCTATTTCCAGCTTTGCACTGATTTTTGCGAATTTAAGTTATGAGAAGCCAAACCAAAAGAGGAAGCGGAGGCAGATGTGATAAAAGCCCAAACTGTCCCCAGTTTGCATTGCTGTTTTTGACATCACTCTTCAATGTGCACTTTTGATTTTCGTTGTTTCTGCATTCATCCAATGTTCATGATGGATTAGAATCCTTGCATGCCATTTGAATGAAATATAAAATGGTAATTTACTTGCCTAGACAAATAATGGTGATTATTAGCATTATTTTCTATCCTCATCCCAACTATTTCTACTGATTGCGATCCAACTGTTGTGTATGTTAAACGGTGCGCAGGTGTTCCTCAGCTGATGCTGCTGGTTTGAGCTGTGTCTCCATCTGTTTCTCTGTAAAGTCACATATGTCTGATGAAAGACTGAAACAGTATCCATAACACACTCTGCACAAAACACTATGCCACATTAAACCTTACAATATTCCACAGAATCTACAATCCCTTGCTCTTCAAAACAGAATGTGGATCTTTTTATTTTTATTACCACTTTATTAACACTTTTGATGCAACTATGGTTAAAGCTGAGCATGTCCTTTTTTTCCACTGGATGTTTTGGTCTAAAGGCCGAAGCTAACATGTTGGCACCATCGCAGATGCTAAGAGAAGGGTCCTTGATTCTGGTTTAAAATCACAGGCACGCTGCAAACTGGTTGTGTCTTTTTTACCAACAACACCAACTTCTGCTGTAACATGATCCTAGATCTCTGCATCTTTAATCATTTTCTTTACCTCATGTCACTTTACTTATCCTTTACCTCATGTCACTTTACTTATCTACTTATTATCCTGCACTATTTAACTGTACAGTATATAACTGCACTACTACATAAATATATTTTGACTGGTTTTGAAGCCTTTTCAGCATCTACAGCTAGTTATGTTAGTTAAGAAACATAGCTACTACTTATTTGTATATATTGTGTGTGATCCCTGTGTGCTCTTACTACTGTCCTATATGTGCGCTGCAACATTGAAATGTCCCCACTGTGGGACATATAAAGGAATTCTTATCTTAAGGACATGCAAACACTTTATATCTGCAAACACATTCTAAGGAACCTGTAACAGAGATGTGTGGACGTGTCCCCAGGAAGCTCGTGCTATCCTTTGGTCAAAATGACCGGCCACAGTGATTCAAAGTTGACCAAAAACCCTATTTATGTTTTTTCAAGCTGATGACATTCTCCAACTTGACCAGCCCTGCGTCATGCAGACCCTTTTAGACTCTAATAATTTAGGGTATATATCTTCTACTTTTAATCACTGGTGGGTCATTTTGGCCCAAGGACAACACAAGTTAAAGAGCATCAAGGGCTGTTGTCTTTCTACCCCGGACTCTGCTTCTTTGGCTGCTGCTATGGCTGTATTATATGTATAGATTCAGAATGATGACAGAGAAGCAGCATACAAGTGTAAAATTTACAAGTAACATGTGTCAGGCTTGAAATAATGCTAATACAAACAATTGTATAAAAAATGGCCTGAACATAAATATGGCCAGATTCAAGGCTTCTTTTACATTTTCAGGAAAGCTCTGCCAGATCTTAGAAGCATCAACCTGAAATGCTATCTCAACAATGTTTAGTCCTCCTCAGAGTCCCAGCAGGAGCCCAGTCCCCGTGCTTCTCTGAGTCCGAGTTGGATCATATATCACTAACATGTTATGGACTTCCAAGCTGAAGTGATTTGCGCTGCTCCTGAATGTCGTACATGCCAGTGTCCAGCAGGTGGCGGTCTACTACAAGAGAAGAGAAGAGACGTTTCTCAGAAGTATACAATGTACATGCATCTAATCGACACCGTATACAACATGGCATGACAAATGGAGCAGAATGTAAATACCACTCTCATTGTTCTCGTGGGACACAATTGTACATGTGCAATGTATGTGACCTGATGAAAGATTGATCGTTGTTTGTGGAGCAGGGCTATAAAATATCCATGTGCATCAGTCAGAAAGAAGACTGACAGACTCCAAGTGCACAACTGCTCACTCTCACTCCTCCAAATCAACCTTACACGGCAAAAAAATGAAAAAATATGAGGTGATAACTGCTTGATCGAGTGTTTTTTTATCTTCTTTTGAGCACATTCTAAGATTTTCCAATGGGACAAAGCCATTTAGTATTATTTCAAGAACTGTTGCTTTAGTTTCTCATTCCAAGGGAGACATCTTTTTAAAACAAGATAATTTTGCTCATCCCATTGGCAGATCTTGTTTTAAGGCAGTCCAAAATGTGGTCAAATTACAATTTTTTTTGCCAAATTTGAGCATTTTTTATCACTTTTTGCAGATCGTTCTTTGGCTTTGTTTTTGTCCATTTAATCTGTGATGTTAATGGCATTCTTCTCTCTGGTGGCATATGATAAATGTAGGTGACCTTTGCTTCCAGTCAGTGCAAAAAATCAAACAAGAAAATAGCCACAGTTGGGCAGTTCCGCTGACCTCGGCTTGGTTTACTGTATTATTTTCATACTTTGTTCTTTGGTTTTGATTATTTTAGACATAAAAGACAAAGAATACAGTATGGTACAATACAATACAATACAAGCACAATAATACATACGGTCACACAGTCATTCACTCCGATAAGACACAGGCCAAAACACTCTCTGACCCTCCACCTCCCTCTCATCAAGTGCTCTGCATCAGTCTTTCCTCCTTAAAAAAAACCCATCAGACTTAAATATCAGCTTAATTCATCTGCTTATGCTCCAATGGTACGTATTGATTTTAAAGTTTGTGATTAAGGCATCATCATTGAATACATTTTGTACAATACTTGAGTTTTCAGATGCTCCAAATAAATGTTTGAGCCATTTTAAAGGTATTTTATGCAACTTTTTGTGGAAGAAAAGTTGATATTTTTGCGTATTTGTACGAGTGGTCAGCATGGCGCCTTTACCTTCTATCACAGAGGTCTCGAGGGTGCTAAAGAATCAATTGTTGGGAAGGTTTTCTCTGCTGTGAGACCCCTGACCCAGAAAACCTGCAAAACAATTGATCCTGGAGCACTTTAGCCACAACATTATGGATCTTACGAGCCAGCGTTCTCCACCAACTGAGGAAAATGACAAAAGATGCAGAGGTCTGTGATCATATCCCAGAAGAGGACATGTTTATTGTTGGTACACAGTGTAAACAACACAACCAGAGTTTCACAGCGTTCACAGGGTTTTATACCCAAGCAAAAACATGGAAGCTCCCCTAAGCATTTGCCACGTCGCCAATAGATAATTTTGCTTTGACCTTCGTAAAACTGCATACTGTTGTAATGATTAGTTCAGTTCTAACAAAAAAGATCCATGCTGCTCAGTCTTACAGCTACTGGGTCAACATGAAGCCTAGAATGAGTCTGGTGTGTGCGTGATCGGTTGGTGGTTGTCAGAGGGGCCGATGGTACATACTGGTTGCCTCGCTTCTGTCAGTGTGCCCCAGGGCAGCTGTGGCTACAATAGTAGTAGAAAACCGTTACATAAAAGGTTTCACACAGTACACAATACAATACAATAAAAGAAAAGCGCTGGTGTTCATTGGAAATCATCATTCCAACACATTCATACATTTATTGCTTATACCAGTTTTGACGGATTAAGGAGAAACCATTTGTTTTGTGAATATATGTTTTGTCTTTCATCATTCCTTGTAGCAGAGCTGGATCTTATCTTGTTCCTCTGATAGTGCAGGTTGTCGGTTTTTGACCTTCTGTGCCCTCTCTTTACCCAGTTCATTCAACCCCACCCTGGCTCCTCTCTCTCAGCAGGTTGTGTGGCTCCCTCGAGGGCTGCCATTAAAAATGTAATTACAGCCATGTGTCTACGTGTGGCAGACAAACGTGAATGCCAAGTCAACCCCAGGTACAGACATTAATTAGGCTTAATGTGGGATCTTTTGTTTCCTTGCTGTGCCATTTCCATTGTCAGTTGTTGGCCTTATACCTCGCAGTATGTGACATTTCTGATGTATTGCCTTGGCACAAGAGTCCTCTTCTTCTAGTTCTTTTTTTTTATTTAAATAGCGCCTTTCACAGATCAGAGTAACAAAGCGCTTTAAATTGTATGTGCATTTGTCTCTCACTCTACGCAGAGATGGGAGTGAGGTTGTAGTATAGGAGGACCATGCCAGACCTACTGTACATGTTTTTAGTGGTAGGGGAAACTGGAGCACTCGGAGGAAACCTACGGAGACACGGGAGAACTGGAGGTGGAATCAAACCCAGGACCTTCTTGCTGTAATTCAATCTGGAGAGACTCGAACAGGCAAACGTAGTATTAGAATTGTTTGTTGTATGTTGGTTGGCAAGTAAAAAGACAATATTTTCAAGATTACATTTATTGTGCTGAACAGAATGTTGTTGGGATTTGGAATTT